TTTTCTATTCGTGGATATTTTGCACTATGTTTAATTCTAGCCTGTCGTGTTTATTATTTTCTCAAACACGAAACTAGGTCTTTGTCAGATTTCCACACATTCTGGTGGGTTTTACTGATACAAGTGTCTCGCACTTCCTCGAACTATCAAAACACATTATTTATTGATTGAATATTGAATAACTAAAGAAGACTTTGTATCAGTGCAACACAAATATATTCGTTTTCTGTTGCTACAGAAACGGTGAATATTATACTACAACAAATCAATATAATTGTAAAAGTCTAGTGGGATTTTCGCATGTGGAGGTTTCGTTTGGTTTTTGTTAAGCACAAAGCTACATAATGAACTATCTGTGCTCGGCCCACTACGGTTATCGAAACCCGATCTTTAGCATCGTAAGCCTGCAGACTTGCCGGTGAGCCTTCATATTCTGATTAGTTAATGTCGCTAACTGTAACTCCACTTACACATTCTTATAGAAAAGCACACTACCCTTGTTACAAAACTTAAGTAAAAATATATTTACATTGTGATAAAGCTTTTACAGAATAGAATCTGTGAGTTTTGTTTTAATTATCCGTTATTTTCGGTGTTTACGAAACACTCTACAGGTGGCGCGTGTAAGTATTCTTTATTTGTTTGTTTTGAATTTCGTGCAAAGTTACACGAGGGCTATCTGCGCTAGCCGTCCATAATTTAGCAGTGTAAGACTAGAGGGAAGGCAGCTAGTCATCACCACCCACCACCAACTCTTGGGCGACTATTTCACCAACGAATAGTGGGATTGAACGTAACTTTATAATGCCCCCACGGCTGAAAGGGCGAGCAGGTTTGGTGGGACGGGGATTCGAACCCGCGACCCTCAGATTACGAGTCGAGCGCACTTGTAAGTAGCTTTCCAATGTTTTATTTTGATTAACCCGGCTTCAAGTACAACTGGTTTTTTTCATTGTGCGAAGATTTTATATTTTATAAAAATTGGTGATTGTAACATTGTATTTATCATGTTAACACCGTCTACTTTACATTGTGATTCTTAATAATAAGGAAGGCTAGTTAGTTATATCTGCTTACATGCAGGAGACTACCGATAGCACACTAATGTGTAGGAGACTACCAATTGTGCACCTTGATGTAAGTGATTCTAATGTGTAGGAGACTACAAATTATACACCTTGACGTAAGTGATTCTAATGTGTAGGAGACTACCAATTGTACACCTTGACGTAAGTGATTCTAATGTGTAGGAGACTACCAATTGCACACCTTGACGTAAGTAATTCTAATGTGTAGGAGACTACCAATTATACACCTTGATGTAAGTGATTCTAATGTGTAGGAGACTACCCATTGCACACCTTAACGTAAGTGATTCTAATGTGTAGTAGACTACTCATTTCACACCTTAACGTAAGTGATTCTAATGTGTAGGAGACTACTCATTTCACACCTTAACGTAAGTGATTGTAATGTGTTGGAGACTACTCATTTCACACCTTAACGTAAGTGATTCTAATGTGTAGGGGACAACCCATTACACACTTTGACGTAAGTGATTCTAATGTGTTGGAGACTATTCATTTCACACCTTAACGTAAGTGATTCTAATGTTTAGGGGACTACCCATTACACACTTTGACGTAAGTGATTCTAATGTGTAGGAGACTACCAATTGCACACTTTGACGTAAGTGATTCTAATGTGTTGGAGACTACTCATTTCACACCTTAACGTAAGTGATTCTAATGTGTAGGGGACTACTCATTTCACACTTTGACGCAAGTGATTCTAATGTGTAGGAGACTACCCATTGCACACTTTGACGTAAGTGGTTCTAATGTGTAGGAGACTACCCATTGCACACTTTGACGCAAGTGATTGTAAAATTTAGGAGGTTACCACAAGCAGATCTTACAAAAAGTTATTTTCAAGTATAAAATATCGTTAAAAGCAGACCTTGTGGCAAGTGGTTTCATAGTTTAGGTCAGTAAAAGTAAACTTTCTGAAAAATTATTCCAAAGTTTGGGAGATTGAATACAATGTGCATTTCAATGCGTGTGAAACATTGAAACCATTGAATACAATGTGTATTATAATTGATTCCAGTGCTTGGGATATTGAATACAATGTGTATTTCAATGCGTGTGAAACATTAAACCCATTGAATACAATGTGTATTTCAATGCGTGTGAAACATTGAAACCATTGAATACAATGTGTATTATTGAATACAATGTGTATTATAATTGATTCCAGTGCTTGGGATATTGAATACAATGTGTATTTCAATGCGTGTGAAACATTAAACCCATTGAATACAATGTGTATTTCAATGCGTGTGAAACATTAAAACCATTGAATACAATGTGTATTATAATTGATTCCAGTGCTTGGGATATTGAATACAATGTGTATTTCAATGCGTGTGAAACATTAAACCCATTGAATACAATGTGTATTTCAATGCGTGTGAAACATTAAAACCATTGAATACAACGTGTATTATAATTGATTCCACTGCTTGTGAGATTGGATATAATGTGTGTGTTACAATGTGTGTAAAAAACGTAAACAGCCCCAAGTGAAACATTTCTTTAGACATGAAACATGCCAAATATTGTGTTACTTCTTTGCAACTTTATTTTTTGTGAAAGGTAAAAGTTTATTTCCAATATAATTTATATTCTTGCTAGATGAACCTACAAGTAGTGAATTAGTCTTAATTTGTTTCGTCTCCCAGTGGTAGTTTCCATTCAAACTATTTGTATGTTTGGGAATGAAATCGTGGCTTGCAGTTCTAATATCTAAACAGGTCACTTCTATTTTCTAAGGAACCAAAGTGCAGCTTTCATGTTTCTTTTTTTTTCTTTCTGTTCTCAAAGAAAAGCCTGTATGAGGTATCCTATTGTGTTTGAGTTCCAATCAATATAATGCAGCGACCCCTACACAACGGTTTAGAGCATGACATGAAATATTCATTGTCTAAGCTGCTCTTCGTACATTCATGGCGTGACAACATGTGATCTTATGCTTCTGCTAAACGGTGTTCTCGGAGCCGAAAAGGCTGCTTGGACGTCATCGACTGGCGCGAAAAAAAAATTCTTAGAGTTTCATTAAAACCATGGAGTAACGAAGTGTCGGATCTGAAAACAATAATTTATCAAATTCTGAGTTGCTTTTCTCAACCGTGTTACAAAGTTAGCTTTTCCCGATATTTATTTTTTATTGCCTGGAGATTATTTCATCTGATAAGAACACAATTGTAGTTTTGATAAAGAATACAAAAACTACGTCATACGAAGCACGTGACTATTTTTGTAACCACAGCAACACTGTTCCTAACTTCTTGTTCAGTCGTGAACCCCAGGTTAGGCCTCTCCAGTTGAATCTTATTTCATTTAGCGGTATTAATTTATTTGTATACAAACTTAACATTCTGGTTTTTATAACGCAAATGACAGACAAAAAAAACAACCGTAGAATGGTTAATGGGTCGAAATGTTTAGTACTATTAAAAATAATAGAATAAAGAAACGGTACATAGGTGGCAGACTCCCCTTATTAAAGGCTTACCTCACGTTTCACGCCCCACCTATCGGAGAATCCCTTCACGTTTCTCTCGTTAAGCCTCTCCCGCTAAATGTCAGAGATCATAACACAATTTAGATTTAATATATCGCTAAGAACCGGGAAACTCCAACCAATAGGGTTGCGGCAAAGAACATGTTTTAACAAAAACTAACTAAATAACCCGGTAAGAAATGAATTCTGAACACGGGGAGGTACTTGTACTATACAGACTCTTCCTTGGATGTGGAGTGTGAAATCCTCCTCACGTGCCATTATTTTTTGTCGCGTTTGTTTCAAGAAAATTCTCAAGATATTTCAAGTTATTGATTATTTTCAGGAGTTTAGAAAATACTAATATTTCAAGACAATATTTGTTACTAACTGGAGTACCCGTAAATCCATGATTAATTTAATGTTAACTTAGGACATGAAAAGCTACTTCCCTTATAATAGGACATGAAAAGTTGCTTCCCTTATAATAGGACACGAAAAGTTGCTTCCCTTATAATAGGACATGAAAGGTTGCTTCCCTTATAATAGGACCTGAAAAGTTGCTTCCCTTATAATAGGACATGAAAAATTGCTTCCCTTATAATAGGACATGAAAAGTTGCTTCCCTTATAATAGGACACGAAAAGTTGCTTCCCTTATAATAGGACATGAAAAGTTGCTTCCCTTATAATAGGACACGAAAAGTTGCTTCCCTTATAATAGGACATGAAAGTTACTTCCCTTATAATAGGACACGAAAAGTTACTTCCCTTATAATAGGACATGAAAAGTTGCTTCCCTTATAATAGGACATGAAAAGTTGCTTCCCTTATATGTAATTGTTTTAAAACGCCCATAAAAACTGCAAAACACAAAATGTGAAAACGCAAATTTTCATGCATCTTTGCTTGGACCCAATGAACCTTCATACCAATTTGGGTGAAGATCCATCCACACTCTGCGAAGTAGTTACATGGACATACAACAGACAGTACTATTATATTTATATAGATATTGCTCAGAGCACCCCAACACTTAACTATAACTTGTAATAGATACCTTGTGTATCTTGATGTAGTTACTACGTATTAAATTAGATCGAGAATTTATATATATATACAACCAAAACTTGACATGAATACCAGATATAGCTTATCTATAAAATGACCCAACCTTGCTACTGTGTCGAATAATAAACGTCATCTCACCTCACCAGGTTTACTTCAAAATGGTCTCTGTTTCCAGCAGTGTTACGTTTACCAAATTTCTTGGTGTTACTCGCTACCACATGAACCGAGTTTAAAGAAAAACACTTCTTAGCTTTTAGGTTATGTATGTAGTTCATCGACGATCATTGAACATCTTGTTAAAACTGAATGTTCATTACGTGTCTGTGTAATGTTTGTTATGTCACATGTTTTGTTCTTGCCATTCAGGCATTAGGATCACCGACTGGGTTCCAGAGTGCAGCGAGAGAGCTGTTGGAGTGGTGCAGTGATACACGAGCTTTCCAGAAGGTATTCGAACACAATCTGATCAGCTGTCTAACGGTAAGTTGTTACACTAATTTCTTTCCAACACAATCTTACCAACTGTCTAATGATAAGTTGTTACAGTTCTGTCTTTCCAACACAATCTGATCAGCTGTCTAACGGTAAGTTGTTACACTAATTTCTTTCCAACACAATCTGACCAACTGTCTAATGGTAAGTTGTTACAGTTCTGTCTTTCCAACACAATCTGACCAACTTTCTAATGGTAAGTTGTTACAGTTCTGTTTAACATTGTTACATCTATATTTTGTATTGTATCTGATCAGCTAGCTGTCTAACAGATAGTTGTTACAGTTCTGTCTTTCCAACACAATCTGACCAACTGTCTAACGGTAAGTTGTTACAGTAATTTCTTTCCAACACAATCTGACCAACTGTCTAACGGGAAGTTGTTACAGTTCTGTCTTTCCAACACAATCTGATCAGCTGTCTAATAGATAGTTGTTACAGTTCTTTCTTTCCAACACAATCTGACCAGTTGTTACAGTTCTGTTTAACATTGTTACATCTATAGTTTGTATTGTATCTGATCAGCTAGCTGTCTAACTTCACGATATTACTTTTTTGTAATAGAACCTCATCAACTGTCTGCTTCACGTTTTTACATATTTATATTGAACAGAATAGGGCCAGGCGTGGCCTAGTGGTTAGCGTGCCAGACTGAGAATCTGAAAGTTCATGATTTGCGGCTTATTGCTGCAAAAACAGCAACAAAACAAACAAAAAATACCCGTGCTCTGCAAGTTAAAAATACATTTGAAGAGATCGTAGAAACATGCTGGTAAGCTTATCAGTAAATACATAGAAATATATACGATTGTTGTAGTTTTATTGTGTCACAATAATATCAATTTACATCAGTCGTCTAGCTCAGATGGAAAAATAAAACCAGTTTTGTATACCGGCTAGTGTTGTTGTTTCATTATGATTAGAGGGGAGAATGGGCAGAGAATGTGACAGGATGTTGGAAGAATTCATCTGGGAAGTTATTACCTTGAACCCAATAATTGGCTCCTATTCGCGACAAGTTATCTGGGGTGTTTGGCCTTTTCTTACGTTTTATAAACATGAAATACTTTTAACTTCTTGATCGTTGTATCTAAAACCAATAACATTTGTCTTCACTTTTGGAAAATCTCTCATCCACAAAGTGCTAAAATCTAACAGAGGCATTTGACCCAATATGCTTGTTTTTACAAAGTGCTAAAATCTAACAGAGGCATTTGACCCAATATGTTTGTTTTTACAAAGTGCTAAAATCTAACAGAGGCATTTGACCCAATATGCTTGTTTTTACAAAGTGCTAAAATCTAACAGAGGCACCTTCTAGTAGATGTAGTTTAGATAAACAGTAGTTCTATCCTAGTGTCAAACGGATGATTTATCGTAACACGGGATACCTTCTAGTAGATGTAGTTTAGATAAACAATAGTTCTATCCTAGTGTCAAACGGATGATCTATCGTGACACGGGATACCTTCTAGTAGATGTAGTTTAGATAAACAGTAGTTCTATCCTAGTGTCAAACGGATGATTTATCGTGACACGGGATACCTTCTAGTAGATGTAGTTTAGATAAACAGTAGTTCTATCCTTGTGTCAAACGGATGATCTATCGTGACACGGGAGACCTTCTAGTAGATGTAGTTTGGATAGTGAACATTCTCATTTTCCAAAGTTTTAGCTCTAATACTATTTGTAATTTTCCCTAATAAAGATTACGTCAACATGACTACGTCTTCGTTTAGTCTAGAAACAAAAAAGCTTATTAAAAGATACAAACTTTTTAGTCGTTTTTCTAAAGACGTCTGTAATTTTAAGTTTGGCCTTAAACAATAGCCTACAGCGAACATTTTGTGTACCTCAGCGTGAAGAATCCCTTGTTTGAACTCACCGCTTGTTTTCACGAGCTAACCACCTTTTTTTTTTGTCTTTTTAAAACTACATCTGAAACGAATCAGTATTTTCCGAACTGTATTCGAGCGTGTGTAATCACGAAACCGCTTCTGCGCTGTTAAATCTGATAGAAGTGCAACTTAATAGAAGCCCATTCTATTAATGTACAGATTTATTTTCTTTTCCACCATATGTATGATTTTAAAGATAATTTGTGAAGTAGAGACCTAATGTATTCTTTGATTGGTCGCACCTTCTGCTTTTATGTAACAGTGGGTTTGGAGAGAGCTGTGAAGTAGAGACCTAATATATTCCTTGATTGGTTGCACCTTCTGCTTTTATGTAACAGTGGGTTTGGAGAGAGTTGTGAAGTAGAGACCTAATGCATTCCTTGATTGGTCGCACCTTCTGGTTTTATGTAACAGTGGGTTTGGAGAGAGCTGTTGGTTTGGTTGTTGTATGATGAATTAAAAAAAACTCACACGTATTTTATTAATGTCTCATCATTCCATTTCTTGCTGTCATGGTTGGATATGCTGGGAACGTTGTCTTAGTCCCAGCATTGAAACCGTTCTGATTCAATTATATCATAAAAGTTACTGCAATGGAACCACCAGCAAGCATGTGCTGTACGATGATGTTCCTTTGATGACGTATCATCAATTAATATAGAAAACTTAACAGTAATGACGGGGGTTCAAGTATAACAGTTGTTATAACACTTAGAAGTTTGACTTCCGAAACATGAAATACTTAGTTACATATAATCTACAAGATTCCACACTGTGCTGCATGTTAACTGTATGTTTCAACTACAAAAATATCTGCTCATTGCCGACCCACCCGGAACTGCTATTCCAATAACTGCACTGTCAGCTTAAGCTTGAGATGCTATGGCTATGCTGTTGGTTAGCTTGAAGTTGGATAGCGTCGGACAGAATGTACTCAATGTCTTCGAGTATCCCAAGATGTGGTTCGTTGTTTATTACATATATTTCAACTTATTGGCCATTTCCATAACTGTTGGTGAAGTACAACGTCAGAAGAAAACGGTTTTCTCACCTTATTGGCCCTTTGTAAATCAAGGAACACTAGATAGATGTCCAGCTACTGTTGTGTGTACTTGTCACACGTTAACTTCGTCAAGCCCTGTACAACATCAAAACTGTGCCCTTCATGGGTCAGTATAGATTTTGTTTGCAAACCTACAATCGTCTACTATAAAAACGAAGTGCTCCATTTTGTTCCTTTCTTGTCCAAGAAAAGACAAAATTTGAAAGACGTGTTACTGGTATCAGCATTGGTGGTTACACAAATCTCTCCGTCATGCGAAATGGCCCATTAACAAGTCAGAGATATCATGATGAAATAGTGCTTCCGTGTATTTGTTCATATACAGGTTTAATAGCTGAAGATTTCCATTTCACGCTTCACTGAGCCCAAATTAGTGGACAGTTCGCTAGAAAAGTGTATTCGTCGCATAGAATGGTCATCGTTTTCTCACTGATCTTAATCCTACAGAACATGCGTGAGGCGCGTGAAGATGACATGTTGCTGAACGGCCACATCCTCTAGAGACAGTGGAACAACAGGAAAAGACACTCGAAGAAGAACGCAGAGTTCAATATGGACTGCTTGATCATCTCATCAGTTCTTGTTTGTTTGTTTGTTATGGATTTCGCGCAAAGCTACACATATCCCTTTACTGTACACTACAATCTGGAGATTTTGGATCCGGTAACACAACGTCCTCTATATATACGTGTTGTTTTTAATTTTTATGTTCATACGTTATCTGTAACTTTCAGTTTTATTAGAAGGAGCTGAGAGTTGTCCTGTTTTAAGTACATTTTACTGACCCATGAGAGTTGTCCTGTTTTAAGTACCTTTCACTGACCCATGAGAGTTGTCCTGTTTTAAGTACATTTTACTGACCCATGAGAGTTGTCCTGTTTTAAGTACATTTTACTGACCCATGAGAGTTGTCCTGTTTTAAGTACCTTTTACTGACCCATGAGAGTTGTCCTGTTTTAAGTATATTTTACTGACCCATGAGAGTTGTCCTGTTTTAAGTACATTTTCACTGACCCATTTCGTAAGTTCTACTGATCCTCTGCATCGTTAACTTTCAACTGACCCACTACATTAATAAATTTTATTGACTCACTCCATGAGTAAATTTTACTGACCCACTTCATCAATATGTTTTACTGGCTCACTCCATGGGTATATTTTACTGACCCACTTCATCAGTAAATTTTACTGGCTTGCTACATCGTTAAATTTTACTGTCCCACTTCATCAATATGTTTTACTGGCTTGCTACATCGTTAAATTTTACTGTCCCACTTCATCAATATGTTTTACTGGCTCACTCCATGGGTACATTTTACTGACCCACTTCATCAATATGTTTTACTGGCTCACTCCATGGGTACATTTTACTGACCCACTTCATCAATATATTTTACTGGCTCACTCCATGGGTAAATTTTACTGTCCCACTTCATCAATATGTTTTACTGGCTTGCTACATCGTTAAATTTTACTGACTCACTCCATGGGTACATTTTACTGACCCACTTCATCAATATATTTTACTGGCTCACTCCATGGGTACATTTTACTGACCCACTTCATCAATATATTTTACTGACTCACTCCATGGGTAAATTTTACTGACCCACTTCATCAATATATTTTACTGGCTCCCTCCATGGGTACATTTTACTGAACCACTTCATTAATATATTTTACTGGCTCACTCCATGGGTACATTTTACTAACCCACTTCATCAATATATTTTACTAGCTCGCTACATCCTTAAATTTTACTGTCCTACTTCATCAGTAAATGTTAGTGGCTCACTCCATGGGTAAATTTTACTGACCCACTTCATCAATATGTTTTACTGGCTTGCTACATCGTTAAATTTTACTGTCCCACTATATCGGTAAATTTTACTAGCTCCATCAGTAAGTAATAAATGTAATTCTTAAATACGTCACAACATTGTGTTTGTTGAGGGTCTGTCTGTCTTCTGTGGTTTGAACTTTGCTCTTTCGATTATTTTAAAATACAAAAAATTCGATTTTATGAGTTTGATCTTTTTTTTTCTTCAGGTGGTTAACAAGGTAGCTGCCCAGCAGGGGTTTGATCTTGACCTCGGTTACCGGTTATTGGCTGTCTGTGCTGCACAACGAGACAAATTCTCCCTGAGATCAGCATGTAAGTTTTATTTGATTGTCTCTACATTTAATGTTTTAAGTTACGTGACAGTCATCACGTATGTTCTGTCTCAATTTCTTTTTGGTGCCAATATTTGTCTCCAAAGCAAAAACGTAATTTTATTTATAGCTGGTTTAAGTTCACATTTCGAACTTAATATATGACTGATGGAGTCCACCGATGGTAAGACGGTAAGTTTACGGACTTACAACGCCAGAGACCAGGGTTCGATTCGATACAACAAATAGCCTAAAAAACAAACAAGTAAAAGGCTGAATGATTTAGATAGAGTCTTCATGATGAACAAACAAAATTGAAATAAGCAGTACCTGCCAAGTAAACGTGACATTTGTAAAGAAAGTCTCGGAGGACTGATCGAGAAAAATAACACATCCAAGAATTTCCACGAGGCCACGCAGCTGCTCCCCATTTCATCTTTTTTCATCATGACCTAAGGTTGTTTGGCAGAAATAGTCTTTATTGCTTACTCGCTATGGATCAAGCAGAATGTGTTTGCATATTTAATGAGATTAAATGCAAGTTTTTTAAATATTTCAAAATATTCAAGCAAAAGTATTCAAGTCTAAAAACTAAATCTACGTTTTGTTAGAAATATTGGGATCTCTGCTTATTCTAGGGTGGGTTAGGAAATACTGGGATCTCTGCTTATTCTAGGGTGGTTAGGAAGTACTGGGATCTCTGCCTGTTCTAGGATGGATTGAGAAATACTGGGATCTCTGCTTATTCTAGGGTGGGTTAGGAAATACTGGGATCTCTGCTTATTCTAGGGTGGGTTAGGAAATACTGGGATCTCTGCTTATTCTAGGATGGGTTGAGAAATACTGGGATCCCTGCTTATTCTAGATGAATTGGGAAAT